ACCACTGGCTAGATCAATCAAACAACAAATCGTTTTCCGCATGCGCCAGTCGCGCTTCAGCTTTCGGTCGAAAGCGCGTCTGCTTGCCAACTGTTTTTGGACATGCCTGTGTATGCTTGTGACGAAAACAGCGCGACTGTCCTGTCCAACATATATTGATGGACTTGGTGAAAATATTTTGCACGATGCGAGCGACACTCCTTGCGAATCTTATTTAACAGGTTCGTCAGAAGACTGTCAGATCAATATCCGGGAGTGCCTTGAAGAGCAGCGGTGGATCTTGGTAACATCAAAAGCAGTGTCATCATCCACTTTGCATGTTGTGTGGGAGAGGACTAATGTTGTATTATTGGATCGATAACGGTTGTCTGGAGACAGACGAAACTATGAAAACGGCCGTTGGTTTTTCGTTGAGTTTGGGCAATTTGGTTGCAAACGTTTCATCACCAGTCGCGGCGACACCATCACTGAGTTGTGAGTGTATGTACATTGGGGTTTGAAGCTACCAATATTCTCTTTAATCACAAACTATAAAACACTCTGGTCACGTGGTTCGCCATGACCCAGCAGCAAGCAATAAACCTGTGTAGTGAAAAATAGCAGTGTATTTGATAACAAGCGGTTATCCATGATGCAGCAAAACAGTGACTGGTGGTCACTTTCTTGCGCCATCTTAAAAAGATGCATTTTGGAAAATATATGTGGTCAGTATTCAAGTAGAACAATCAACCTCTCACCCAAAGCGGATCACTGGATGTGCAGTGAGTGCCACAACAGAGCCTTAGAGTGCCTGAGAAGTTTGTAACGACTGGCTTACATCCGAACCGGATTTGCAGGTTAACAGTGGTCACACTACTGGATGCATTAAGTCTTCAGGTGAACAGTCACGTCTGGTCGAAATTCGGGGGCTGTAACTTCAAATGGGGTGGTTATTGTTAACAGTTCCTTGGCAATCGCATCTACATATGCAACACCTCATATACGGGATGGATACCAAAACATTCAGAAAATATGGCTATGTTCTGCGCTGGTAAGCTTGAAGATTCCGTAAAGATTAGTTCCCAGAATTCTACTATGACTCAACTGCCATACTGAAGAAGAAATACGCATTGGTCACTAGACAATTCGGTTATTCTACCCAGGAACCTGTTGGAACCAACCTATGTAAGATAGTCGCTTCTGGAAAGTGGGGATAAGCCTCAAGAGACCAGTGGTGGGTGCATACTTTTGAGCAGCAGCCGTTCTTTAGAAATACCTTGATAGGACAATGCATCCTCAGAGGGGAAAACATCCCAAGAAAAAGGCTATCCCTCTCAATAAGCCTCTACAAGGAATTTTTGCAAAATACACCTAACTGGTTGGGAGTTCGAACATTCAAGCCTGTAGTGGGACAGTCGGAAAAAGGGAATGATAGAGTTACACATGTATGACAGTCTAGATCGCGGTGTTGGATGCGTAGGTGCCACAAAGCAAAAACCAACTATCTACATTGCTGCACTGCGTTAAAAACCTTATGCTGTTAATGTGTTGGAATATTGGTAGCTCAGGTGCCATAATTGATAAGCGATCAGGTGGCTGTTGATCCGTCCGCAGAGCTTGACAATGTATTTGCAAAGGTTTTGGTCACCATTCGAGGAGACATTTCCACGCAACAGCGCACTGAAGATGTTTTGTCGAATGCTGACAAAACGATTGCAAGTCAATCGCCAAGCTCAGCGAACAGATCAACAGCCACCTGGTCAATGAACAACTTTATGCTGAACTATCAGGCAGGTATCGCAATTAAATGAACTGAGCACGTTCTTTGAAAGGCTTGAGATCATCACTGTTGCTTAGCAGAAATCCGGTGCCGCCAGTGTTGAGGCTTTGCGAGTGTCACGCAGAAATAAGTAACACTATGATACCCCCCACGACCGAGATCCGCATTAGGTCAACACAAAAACTGCGATTTTCATACACGATCGACGATCGAACGTATTTAATGAAAGGCTCACTCCCCGAATTGATAAAAGTGGTGCTTGTGGGCAAATCTTATGGAAAACTTGTTTTTTCCACGGATGATTTTTGTGGTAACTTGGCATTGACGATTATCCAATTCACAAAGACAAAACTAACCTATGAAAAATATTGTGCCGGGGGCATATAAAAAGAGATTCCTTCAAGAGATTCCCCAGCCACACGAAGTTATTCTTTGTCATCGAAGCTCTCCGGATGGCCGTTTAGAGAACCAGTGCGTGATTGGGCCTGCGGTTGGCATCCTTCAACGGTTGATAGGAGATTCACGTAAACGACTCCACCGGCGTGCACCCAATGAAACGTAATAGGAACAAAGCATCTCATAAGGTTGAGTTTCGTGGATCAGACTATTTCTTTCACACAGGCACTCGGTTAAACTCCTGGTCATGGCTTGGCAATTGTCGGATTCTCCGTGAGGGACGCTGTCTAGTCAGGCAAACAAACAGTAGTTGGGCTCTCCAAGTCAACAACATGTGGTATGAGATGCAAATACGAAAGCCTTTCAAAATGTGGCGCTGTAAACACGGTCTTCTCTGAAGCTCCCAGTGGATCCAAGGACAAGTTTTTGGACAATTTTTTTCGGATTAAGACCATGTCGGAGTTCGCACAATCGCGAAGTTGGTTAACTGAAGACCTGTTCGTCAAACTAAAAGTCAGATTGGCAATGTCAATCTACGTTATGAAATATACGGAACGAAAGCGTTTCAACTTGGGAACACGCCTTATCGAAGATAGTTGGGCATGGAAGGCTGCGGGATGTGATATGTACGGAACCCGGAATCAAACACATCCATCAGAGAACCAAAACGATCAAACGAGGAAGGGGTTTTCTTTTTGGACAGACCGATAATATGAACCGTCGGCTAATGCTCTATCTGTCCCCCGGGAATTCGGTTGTCTGTAGAGTTTTCAAACATTTTATCGGGATGGATGAAGCGAATGCTCCATATATCTAACAGCTTTATATATATATATATATATAGATATATATATATAGCGGTAATGTGATGACGCTGCACGATGGTTGTTACGTTCCATTAACTTTGGTCAGTACAAACGACCATAATCAATTAATAACCACAAAATAAACATATCTTACTGACTAGGGACTCGCTAGGTATGCCTCCTCTTTGTAGCTCGCATCACAACTTTCGACTCACGTCAAAATCGTGGCCCGTTCGAACTGCTACCATATTGAATCATCAATTAACCAAATCACGCTGTCCAGGGAGATCGGTGTAACGGTGGGACAGTGAAGCAACACGACCTCCAGATGTTACTGCCATAGTGACATGCAATTTTGGGGGAAACCAGCTATCTAGAAAATCAGAAAGTACACATCCATGTAACTTCCTTAGTACAAAAGTATTTCGACTGATGACGTACCCAACCGCGAAAATAGCTCTGTTAACGGGAATTTTCCTCACGTGGAAAGAACAACAGTCGGCGACGGGAATGCCTCAAAAACGCTGAACCAACGGATAGTAAGTAGACATACCTAAACAGAACATAAGCGCCCGCCTGCAAACGTTAAACCAGTTAGCTTATTTGAGTTCAAGGGTGAAAACAGACACGGATCTCAGAATGAACCACAGGAGCAGAAAAACACATCTGTGTAGAGAGCTGGATCAGAATTGTGTCTTAAATTGTCGCTCAACTTGTCAACACACGGTTCTGTTAGCATTTATGTTAATTATTTCATGTTAATTAAACTGATCAAGCCGGTACATAAGAACGACTTGTGGACAACTCAGTTTCGTCGGGGATATAACATCACGAAGTTCATCGAGGACTTATGTGTGACCAGTTAATCTTAGCTGGGAAAAGGTCGTGTGGTGCAGGATAGCCGTAGAGAACTTGCAGTCTGCATTACGACTTTGCGACGCTTGCATTTCACAGATTTCCCTGATGTAGTCGTTCACTGTTTCTTGAGATGGACAAATAGTGGAAGACGATAGTTACAAAATGATTAAAAACCGTGTGGAGTATGCCGTAAATCCTGCTTCCCGGGACTTCAAAGAACATTTTCCAGAAAGGTCAAGCCACACGTGTAAAGCTTATTCTTACAAGCATGTGCCGATCACAGACCTGGTATAAATGTGTTGATTGCGTTCCTTAAATAACTCCGTGGCTAGTGATGTTTCAACCCCTGTTCGACTGCGTGAACACATTTTCTGCCTCAACAAAATACGTCAGACTGTCTAAAGAGTGGATACACATGCTGCTTTCCTTAAGTTTCCGTGCAACAGTGTTCAGTCTGTTGTACAGATGGGCATCCCTCCAGATCAACAGATGAGCAATGATCAATTCTTCAAAGACAACTAAGCAGTTCTCTTCGCGATTGGTGAGAAACCCGAGAGAAATTAATCGGTGCTATGTAGTTACCACGAATTGGGAACAATCTCGTTGGAGCGGACAGCAGACAACGAAGAACAGCGCCATTGGGTCGATAATCTGACAAACCTAGGTCGAATACATCAGTTTTGTCGGAACGGGTTGCGCGGACAGCGGTGCAGCCTGATCCCGATTACATACATCTCTAGCGGGTCATAGTAACCAAACACATTGTGGCATTATGTTACCATGCGGATTTCCAAAGGCATAATCGAGCACAGCATTCGTTTTTGTGCACTTGGAACGTCACAACGCACAACAACCTTCAATTAATTCATCTTTTTTCGACTGTGACAGCTGAAGTCTCCATGCAATGTTTATAACAGAAGATGCTAAAGATGGTAATCGTGGGCTCAGTGTTCGTCGCACCAGTAAATCTAAATATATTGAACTAAACTGCAGTAGTTGGTCTCATCATCCACGAACACTATCATCCGTTTAATCTAAAACGCAGGTAAAGGGACTTACTTTTTGTGACCACTAGGGAACTCCAAGGATAGGAAACAAGTTATTCCAAAAACCCGATAAATAAGACCAAATATTGTACCACAGGCAAGAAGACCAGAAGCCAAGCATATGGAGACAATTCATCGGTACGTTTAATTGCCAGCTTAAGGTCAGGAGCACTGTGGGTGATCCCATTCGAGTTGTGTACCATACATTTGGTGGGTAAGTTGTCTGAAGGTCGAATCACGCATTCAAACACTTTCCAAATGAGGCCAAGGACAAATGATTCACCGGAAATCACCTGCTTTTGTTATAATAAGTATAACGAAGTACATATCGTAACTGTAGGAGAAAAGCGAGGGTGGCAGAAAATTAGAAAAAAAAGAAACAGTCTAAATTTCGTCCTAATCGCGACAGCAGGATGTTTGACTGCTGAATACATTGAATCCGAACAAAGATCGACACAAGCTACCGCGCAATTGAAACAATGAACAGCCCGAAATATGGGACGAGCTACATGTTTAGAATCAGAGTTTGGGAGACAATAGAGTCGAAACAAAACAATGTATAAAAGAACACTATCTAAGATTGGTGTCAGCAGGTTGAAAATGAACAGTACGAGAATGAGATGGGATGAATTAGTCGGCAAACAAATGAGACGAGAACTGGCAACATGAGGACGTCAGCCTCAGATTACAAAAATGGCAAGTGGAACAACGTGAGACAATAACAAAATGACGGATGGGAAGGTGACGTAGAAAGACGTGTGGGGAATAGACAAGTGCTGACTGCCGTTCCGATCAAAACAGACGCAGCGAACACCCACAAAAGCCACTTGAAAATCACTGAGCCTAAGAAAGAAAACAAAAAGGCAAAAACGCTTGATTCAAAGCGAAAAGAATGTGTACGTGTCTCGTCGAGGCCTAGCAACATGTTCATTGTTAGCACGCATTGTTTGCACATGGAGGATTGTGTACATGGTGATCGAATACGGAAAAAGCGTCGGGGCTCCGTCCACCTTTGTATCTCAATCATCCCAGTCGGATGATTCTGTGTTCTCGTCGTCTGTCGAATTGTTTTCCATACACTCACGACGCCGCCGAACGGCTTCGTAAATTGCCTACGTAAAATAGAGAAAGGAGGAGTGGGATGTGTAAGGGGGATTAAGACAAAGAGTGGATGCGTTTCAAAAAAATTCAGTTCTTACCGTTAAAACAAAAAATCGTTCAGCTGTAGCACCTTCTCGATACCTAACTACCATGCCATCAGAAGGAAGCACGATGGCTGGGATATTGCCAAGCTGCCCAAGCCTAGACAGAGGAAGTCGAGAGGCAGAGGTTGGGTTCGAACCACAGACCTTCCGACCATTAAATTCGCGCTTTAACAAAAGTAGCCTCAAGTCGAGGGGCACCTTCCAATTTCAACGTATCGATTGAGAAAACCAGATGAATCGGTCACATGCAAACATCTGAAGTAAATAAGGTTTAGGTGTGGGTCCTGTACAGAAATAAAAATATTAAGAAAACATCACTGCACATGCGACGCGGCGGTAAAGTAGACACTTGAACTAGGGAGACCCGGCGTAAGTGGACAATCGAGAGCATGCGGTTTTTGAACCCGACACTGGTCTGATATTGTCAGTGATATGGTGGCCCTAGCAGGTAGACACACTAAAACGTATTTACTAAGGTAGTTGTGGGAAAACCCAAGTGCGTTGCAGGCTAACGGTGTAAGGTGATGAAAATTCCAGCACAGCGGCGCCCAACACCTCTTTCCAGAAGTCCTGCTCATCTGAAGAGCACATATTTGTCACTGTATAAAACAGTGTTCTTACTGTCTTTGTAATGTACTACTCATAAGGTTGCTGAAAATCCGTAGACAGCCCACAACCGGCCTCGCCCTTTTTAGGGCTCATCAGGTAGGCGCAGTCCCCGGGTTTCCGTCAACCTTATGTTCTACTTGAAACCAAAAAGTGTTCTTGCTACATTAGGTGGGCGAAAAAATTGAGGCCATTTTAAACGGCTTCACAGTCGGCGATACAATATGTACATCCAAATTTCATAGGATCCTCCGATTGTGCCTCTATGATATTTAAAATTCAAGTTGCTCAACTGAATCATTGTACACATCTCACATCCGAACTAGACGTTCAGTGTTTCTAGAAGTCCTATAAAGCTTACTTTCGTCTGCTCAGTGGAATTTTACTGAGACGTCTTTTAAAAAGTCCGAGAGGTGACAGCACGAAACCGAAAACACATGCATCAATTCGATCTAATTCCATGCGACACCAGCAGACTGGAGCAAACTAAGATTCAATTGGGCAAAAAATAAACTATAGTTATGATCTGAGAAAAAATCACAGTAGCTGTTTGTAGATAGAATCAGGGGAGATATTACGACGGCGTTGCTCGTCAATTTCCGGTAGTTGATATCGGGCAGACACTGATTCAATAGATTTCTCGTAGCACCACGACAAGCCCGCCTGTAACGATCCGTGAAAAAAATAATGTTTCATGCGCAAAAGACTCAATCAATGTTGCCTCGCTGTTTTCGGCGATGTCACTCGAGGAGACCACAAGTGTATCAGGTCTACTTAACGTCGTCTAGGATTTGTCCCGAGCAAAGGCTTACAGGCTAAGTGAAATGAGCCAGATAAGGGTAGACAGAAAGTTAAGTTGAACGGCACTGGGGTCGCCAAATCACAATTAAGAGTGAGAATTGGTCTCTGAGTCACAAACAGGCATGTGTCACTCACTTGAACGTCGTTGGGCTTATTGCCCAGACTAAGAACCGACATGTTCCGAGTAAATTTATCTCCATTGGCTTTTGGTACCGGACGGTCGGTGACCTTACGCAGCGTCAAACCAGCCCGAATAGCTGACAGCAAATCTTGCGGAGGACCTTGCGGAACAACGGACTCTCTCGGTTTGGAATCCTTTGAACCGATATTCAGCTGACCCATTTTGTTAGTGACCATTGTGTCAACCCCGGTCGTTGGAGCGTCAAACATCATAAAAGGTGGTGGAGGTGGAGGAGGGGGTGGAGGCGGTGGCAACCCAGAGCCGTTCGAGTTCATATCCGATGCGCAGTTGTTCGGGTGTGGAAGTTGTCCACGACCTTGGATGGTGCAATCCTCATCGATTGGTGTGTCGAAAATCGGTGCGGGAGGTGGAGGAAGATCATGCGACGACAGCGAAGCCTTAGAAGAAGACGGCAAAAATGTGGACATTAACATATGAGCATATTTGTTCCGGGAAAGCATGTCAAGCAGAAACGCTGAATTAATCTTGGTCACTCTACAAGTTTCGACTCTTTCCATTCTTTCAACATAATTATCCAGACACCAGAGCAGCTCGAAAGGAAGACATACACTAACTGTGAAACTACACCAACCAGTCGTTACTTCCACTTAGGTTTATCATGCACACACAAAGTGTCTGAATATTCGAACCTCAGGATAATATCCATTCAAAGACAGCTCCATATTATCACTAAAGTTATTATTATCACCCGTAGTCATCCATCAAGAATTTATGGTAGGACCTTTCTCCAGCAAGTTTTCAACGATCATTATGGTGACCTACCCACTATAACGGATTGGTCAGGTCGCGAATCAACCGACTGCGTGCATGAATGTACCGTATTTGACAGTTTAGGACGAAGCAGAAGAGCACTTAATCTCCTCCTGTTTACACCTGCTTGGATAAAAGCCGATATGTTATGTATACAGTGTGAACTAAATCAGCCAAGAGACAAACATCTACCCAAATGAACAGCACCTCAGGATTTCTAGCTGCAGGGATTGATGAAGACTTGCAAGGATCATTCGATTGCTTAGCAGAGACCGTGTCCTCGAAAGGGTTCTACGACCAGTAAATCATTGGTAATGATGGTGCATAGCTGCTGTGAAACCCGAAGGAAGCGTGACGGATAAGATACTGTCAGGTTAACTAATCCTAAAAAGGAGCAGTCGAGATGCCGGGGCTGGGTTCGTACCACAGACCTTCCGGTTCGTACTCGAAACACTGAGCTAACTCGAGCTCAATTCAGACATAGACCATAGACATAGATCCACGGGCTAACAGGACGAAATCTCACCCGAGGTTGCCAGAATTTATGAATTTGGGCCCTTTCGTAAGTCTCTTTTTTGATGGGGTTTCTTAATAATAATCCGATAGACTCAGTATTAAGTTTTCGCGGATACACGGAACGTCAAACGTGGACACTACTTGCAATACCTCAATGTGACATTGAGCTATCCCAAAAATTCCACTGGAGCATTGTAAGAATGCCGGGCGTCTTAAAATGCGGAGCGTACAGACCAACAATGACCAGTAAAATGTTAACAAAGGTCAACATGTTTTTTTTAGTAAAACGGATGAAGTCACCCTGATGAAAGCTTGCATACTTTACTTAGTTGCAGATTCGTACGCAACATGACGTGATAAGGAGTAGAGTCGCACTAAACCGGATTATGGGGGATTGATTGGAAAAACCATAAATACACCTAGTGGAGTGGTAGCAAATCATCGGTTCCTTGGTCTAAATCATCATCATCATCATTCTCAGCTGTAAGAACCGCGTATTCATCGTACAGTGGTTGTAGCTGCCAGTTTCGTTCACCGATGATTTTGGGGATGGGTAGGTAGCTGCGCATTGCAAGCGTGAGCTGGTAAATTGGTGCTCAAATCCAGCACTGTCAGTGGGCTATCAAGTGGGGGGGGGGGTTGGAAAAGGAGCTATGCATTGAAGGCAATAGCTTTGATGCACGAGCGCCATTGAGGGCGTGACTGGGCCATGTCTGATAATGTCTCTAGCCATTGAGGTGGCCCGTCTCGGGGCCCCCATCCAGGAAGACGGCAGTGACCAGCGCAGCTGAGTTTGCTGGTAATGGCTTTCACACTTCGCTGCCAAGTCATTGTTTG